ATAATTTAATCACAAATTAAACCGAGTTGGTAAAGAATGAACAGTCACTACTGGAAACTTTGTCTCAGTGACTTCATTCATAATATGAGATGTTTTACAAACCACTTGAGCTGATCAACAGGTTCTGTTTTCTGGAAGTGCACAGAAAGGCGTGAGGGTCAGGGCAGACCCCTTTTTTAGACAGCCCAGTTGAACCAAGGCTGAAGTTTTTCAGTATTGACCCTACTGGGTATTGATGCTATTGTATGAGCCTGATCGATGTTAATGCAGTGAATTCCCTCTGGCCAGCAATTGAATTGGTCTTCTGCTGTAAAACGCAGGGGAATATGCATATGCTTTCCACTGACTCAGCCAAGTTTTGGACTGAAAGGAGAAAATTATGATTGAGTTTAAATAAGAATTAAATTTAATGCTTTCAACACACTTTAACACTGATGTGAGCTACATTTTCTTAGCTTTTTTTGTTTTAGATCTTGCTTTTTCTTAAGCTTCAAAATACCAAACTCTGGGAATAAATAAATTATTAATAAATAAATAAATTAAATCGCTACATCTGACCTGACCTGGATGTTCTTGTTCAGTTCAGCTGATACCAAAATACCATAACTGCCTCAGAGACCTGAGGAACGAATTTTGGAATGCTTCAGGTTTCTGTTAATCCATGATGAGCTGTTTATACTTCTGCTAAATGCAGATAGAACAAGAAATGTGTCACTTTTGATTCATAGTGTTGCACTGATTCATATCATACTCTATGCATAATTATACATTGAATTCTACATGATCTGGCTTGAATGACAGTAAATAGGGTGTGTAGATGGTGCTGATGACGATTGTTGAAGTAAAGACCTCTAAGAAGGCTTCAGTAATAGTGCTGCAGTGCTCCTCAAACCCATTTAACCCATAGGAATATTTAACTGCTTGCTGCGGTTGCTAGGCAACAGGAGATGGGTAGCCTCAGTACATTACTACTTTTGAAGCACTCTCTCTCTCTCTTTCTCATTATTTCTCTCTGTCACTCTTGCGGATACACTGTCCCAAATATCATTGCTTCTTGAGATTATACTCAGTTAAATAGAATTGCTCTTGGGTCAGTGTGCAAAAAAGTGATGTTTCAAATTAAATTTAACTTCCCTTTGGTGAACTCAAGCTGCTGTAGTTTCAGTTTTAGCTTCCACTTGTGATTATTTTCATCACAGCATCAATTACATAAAAAAGGAAGCATTTGATTCAGATACTCTGAAGTAAAACTGTGACCAAAATCATATCTCCCATGATGCCACACTCATTAGAGTAGTAGTAATATTAGGTCAGGATATTATTTTAATTGACCATTTAGTGACGGTGGAACTGTGATTTCATGTACTAATTCAGATTGGGATCTCTGTAGATTATATGTAGATAATCATTTTAGGGAACGAATACAATATTAAAGATGCTATAGTGGCTGTTCTAAGCAGTTTGTGATTTGATTTTGATTTAATTTAATTTAATTTTTTTCTGTAAGATGAGGTGCCAGCTGTACTTGAACCACCAACTGTTATTTTATTCAGGAATTTGCCAAAAAAAAAAAAAAAATCTACATCTAAATCGGCACCTTATCAGCTTTCTGCAGACATTTGTGAATGTATTATCTGTATACTATACTGTATACTATTTTTTTTAGATTTAGTGTATGTTTTTGTGTGTAGAAAATACGGACATGGTCAGTTCAGACGGGAACAAAATTATAAGTATGTCTGTCAAACACAAATTGAACTAACCTCAGGGAAAACTAGTCTTGTCTGAAGAGGGCTTTTAGCACTTGTACAGTGAATTTATAGATAAATCAGAGCACAGATCTGTGTGCCTGTCATCGGCTGTCCTCTGATCCTGGATCAGTTGAAAGTGAAAAACACTGCTCTATTTTAACTGGAATCTACACACACATGCACACGACCTGTCGCGTTCCATAATATTCTATATCAGTAATCAGGATAGCTCTATTCATGAAGAGTGATTTACTTGGGCCTCTGTCACTGCTGACTGTAGTCTGAGCGCACACGCTGTACTGAAAGCAGCCGTTGTCGCTGTAGCCGAATGCTGCTGGGTCATACTGATGTCATTAGAGCAGTTAGAGGACTGAGCCAGGATCTGTGGGTTGTTTGGAGGTTACACTGCATGAGTGATTAGATTCCCTGGAGATTATTCCTGTTCCTTCTGTTTAAATCGGTCTCGTTTTCAATAATTCCTCACCTCTCTTCCTTGTATTCTCTCTTTCTTCCTTCCTTTCATTGGTAAAATGATTTTTTATCAAAGGGTAATAGTATGCACGATACTTTGATTTATTCCATTGTGCTAAATGATTACAGTATTCTTATAACAAAGTATTTTCATTTTATGTTTGTACGACTGGTTGATTAATTGGGTGGACTAGTTTTTTTTTAATTGTTTTATTTTATTCCTTTATTTTAATTACATTTTATTATAATTTATTTAATTTTATTTGTTTTATGGCATCAATTAGGAAAAACCCTTTTGAGCATTTTCAAATGAATCTGCTTTTAGAGAATTTAATAATAAAATTTTTTGCTATGTTCCTCCTCTTTTGTAAGTCGCTTTGGATAAAAGCATCTGCTTAATGCATAAATGTAAATGTTCATTTCACCTATGCATACAATGCATTTGGTAGAATGTCAATAGTGACTTGCTGTGGACTCAAGGTTTACATTTTGCTAGTAAAGTTTAAAACAGTTGTACTTTTATTAACGTGTCTCACCACCCTTTCATCCATTCTGTCACACTCCATGTAATTCTTTTAAAAGCACAATTGTATCCAACATAAAGGCCCACTCAGAAACGCATACGATTATGATCAGGTGAACAAATCAATTAAGTACATTTTACAAGAGAGTACTTTTAGTTTTTCTGCTTCAAATTTAATTCATTGTGTTGCTTACCATTTCTTTGTAATTATTTCTGAAATTTATTAACAATTATTACTGATTGTTTCTATTTTAAAAAAAAATCAGTGCAGGTTAGAAGATTTATTTGTTGTTCAATTTGTGGTGTACTTTTCATCTTTGCTTTCTTTCTTTCTGCTTTTATAAGTCCTATCCTCTGAGATTTTGGTAACACTTTACAATAAGATTCATTAGTTAACATTAGTTAACATGAACTAAGCATGAACAATACTTCTACAGTATTAGATAGAACCGAGATTTTTGTATTATTTTAATTCTTTTCGCAGTTTCTCACTTCTGCATTATCATCCGTCCATCTGTCGTGTGCTTGCTTCTGTCCAGTTCCCTGTCTCTCTGTGTGTGTGTATGTGTGTGTGTGTTTGCGTGGGTGGTGGGGGGAAGGGTTGTGTGGGGGACAGGTATAGCGGGCGGGTCGTGGTCCAGAGGGGGCGGTGAGCTGCACAGAGAGACTCTTCAGCAGATACACAAGCAGTCAGTGGAGAGGCTTCTTCAAACAGATGGGATGGGTAGAGTGGAGACACAGGCCTGTCACAAGGCAAACACACACACCACACACACACTCCCTCAGAACTCAACCCTGTGACTCCAGTGTAAAAATGTTTTACGCTACAGTGTTGAATAGATAGAAACTGTTCATGATGAGATGACTGATTTGTTGAAATGCTTATTTTACCTGTTATCCTTTGCTACATTTTTGTCTCGCTGTATTACAGTCGCAGACAGCATTGGGAATATGATGCATTATTTTTGTAATTGCGTTACTTTTTGTCACTGTCTTTTGTGTGTTATGTACAATTTTGTGCTGCGGACAAGTGTTTGTCCACTCACCTTATAGACAGCTATGTTGATTAAGAGTGGTGAAATGTGCTTTTGTCATGTTTGTGACTTCATGTAACAGGAAAGGGAGAGATTTCTGATCTATTTTTCTGTAAATTTAATTAAATAAATAGAAAGATAGTGCTTCTTACTTATTTGAAAATGTTATTCTGGCGTAAATGTACTTCTTAAAGAAAAATGTAACATCGTTTTGCTTGTCACTTCCAAAAAGTAACAGGGACTCAATAGTACAGACTGGGAGTAAATTTTTTGCAAAAGAAACCCCCCCCCAAAAAATGTGACAATAGTGTAACATGTTATCACTATTGGTGACCGGGACGAAGCTTGTTTGATTTCCAGTCACGTTTAGTGTGCTGCAGCACTATTCTGTTGTGTTCTGCAATGTCTGTTTGGCGAACAACTATTATGAGCTGATCAAGAACTTAAGTCAAGAGTTAGCAGTATATATAAATGTATGCTTGGAGGAATATTTAACAGTAAGATCAATAACATGCATTTAGAAAATATATAGGATGAATTTTCATTTTATGCTGATTTAAAGCAAGCAAGGCCTTGTAAATCTGTTATGGAAGAAGTGATGTAAAAAAATCTAATATTTAAATAAATAAAAAACACCATGCACACATACAGTTGTTGTTATGCTCAATTTTAGGGTTGAATTGTTTAAGGGAGATTTTTTTTCTTTCTCAAAACTGAACTGGATGATGAACAGCAGTGCAACTTAACAACAGTCTATATCAAATTAATCTGTACTTTGGTACCTGTTCATGAATGGAATGCTTAATTTTAAGTCATATGTTTAATTGTAGTCATATATTTAGCCTGGAAACCTGAGCAATCTCTCGTTTACTTGTAACATGTTACTCCCACCGCCTAGTCATTTTAGCTAGCAGCATACACTGATTAGTAAACCTCTCCTGTCATGCCCAACAATGCTTTTAGGTTGCTTACAAGGTTTTGAGACATCCCAGCTAAAAACACCAGCTCAGACCAGGATGAATTTACTCTAACTGATCCTTGCTTTTTTTGGTGCTGGTTCAGCTAATGGATGTAGGATATCAGACCGAATCAGACAATCTAAGATTTGGTCAAAACATGGTTGAAACATTAGGAGCACAAAATTCCACAAGAGGCCCAAGACAACAGGATGTCATAAATCAGACCCTAGCCAGTCTGAAGCAAGCCTAACCAACTCTTTCACAGAACAGCTTTCAACATTAAAACAAAAGAACACTTATTGACAATTCCAAGGAGATTGTCAATTTTGGGGGCAAGTTATCAAGAATAATGGTCAAAGAAATGACAGCATGACCCTCACGTGATAGTAAAACGATCACGATCTCGTTGGAATTGACTTCTCCCCCCACCTCTGAGACAGAGAACAGACTGAAATTCCTTACAGACATGTTTCATACATCCACAGAACATGTCCTTATGTTCACAGAATGGCACAGAAACTGCCTTTCCATGCACCTAAATGACACTAAAAGGACTCGAGCAACTAATCATTGCTATATATATAACCCCATATCATGTATGTAACCCACATGTGACTTATCAGGTCTTAATCATTTATTGTGAATGTATTTCGAATAACTATTGAATAGTTTATAGGATCACATTCATGTTTAGTATGCGTGTGTTTGCATCTTCATGCTTGAAACGTTTATTCTAATCACTTCTTTGTCAAATGTATCATATTCTTGTTATAGAAATCATGTCCAAATGTATACTCTGCCAGAGCGGGAAAACGCGGACTGATAAGAGAACATTTGATTTATGAATGGGGAGGAGGAATATACAACACCCCGAGCAACGACGACATCTAATTGGTCAAAACACCATTTGGGAGGTGTTAAACAGCCCGGTTTAAATACTCAGCACACCATCAAACTTTGCTTTTTGTGTCTAGCTTTTAGCTTTTCGCTTTTAGTCATGCTTTTTAGTTATATGCTTTTTAGCCATGCGGCTTTTTAGTTATATGCTTTTTAGCCATGCGGCTTTTTAGTTATATGCTTTTTAGCCATGCGGCTTTTTAGTTATATGCTTTTTAGCCATGCGGCTTTTTAGTTATATGCTTTTTAGCCATGCGGCTTTTTAGTTATATGCTTTTTAGCCATGCGGCTTTTAGCTTTTCGCTTTTAGTCGTGCTTTTCAGTCATGCTTCTTTAGCTTTTGAGCGTGCTCTGGCTTACATGCCATCTCCTCCAAAACCATGAGGAGAAACGCCACCTAGTCTCATCAAACTTTACATCTATTTCTTTACTTTAGTTTATTTTATTTTCCGTTGAGAGTTTTGTGTTCTTTCGAGTTAAGTTTGCCTAACGCCGCATCTCCGAAAGAGTGCCGTCTAAACTTCAACTGCAGACCACAGCTCCGCGTCGCCAGCCAACGCCCAATCACTGGCTTCCCAAGACTGAACCTCCAGCCAATCAGAAAAGCGGGAAACCCCTTTCGGCAACCAGACAAGGAAGGGAACCCCGCACACAGGAACGCAAGTATCTCCAGATCCTAGCTGAACTGGTGCATTTAATATAAATTTTAACCTCATTGAAGAACTCAATGCGAGGGTTAATTAAGTGAATGATGGTTGTTCAGATCTATGGGTCGTGGTCCAGAGGGGGCGGTGAGCTGCACAGATAGACTCTTCAGCGGATTCACAAGCAGTCAGTGGAGAGGCTTCTTCAAACAGATGGGATGGGTAGAGTGGAGACACAGGCCTGTCACAAGGCAAACACACACACCACACACACACTCCCTCAGAACTCAACCCTGTGACTCCAGTGTAAAAATGTTTTACGCTACAGTGTTGAATAGATAGAAACTGTTCATGATGAGATGACTGATTTGTTGAAATGCTTATTTTACCTGTTATCCTTTGCTACATTTTTGTCTCGCTGTATTACAGTCGCAGACAGCATTGGGAATATGATGCATTATTTTTGTAATTGCGTTACTTTTTGTCACTGTCTTTTGTGTGTTATGTACAATTTTGTGCTGCGGACAAGTGTTTGTCCACTCACCTTATAGACAGCTATGTTGATTAAGAGTGGTGAAATGTGCTTTTGTCATGTTTGTGACTTCATGTAACAGGAAAGGGAGAGATTTCTGATCTATTTTTCTGTAAATTTAATTAAATAAATAGAAAGATAGTGCTTCTTACTTATTTGAAAATGTTATTCTGGCGTAAATGTACTTCTTAAAGAAAAATGTAACATCGTTTTGCTTGTCACTTCCAAAAAGTAACAGGGACTCAATAGTATAGACTGGGAGTAAATTTTTTGCAAAAGAAACCCCCCCCAAAAAATGTGACAATAGTGTAACATGTTATCACTATTGGTGACCGGGACGAAGCTTGTTTGATTTCCAGTCACGTTTAGTGTGCTGCAGCACTATTCTGTTGTGTTCTGCAATGTCTGTTTGGCGAACAACTATTATGAGCTGATGAAGTCAAGAGTTAGCAGTATATATAAATGTATGCTTGGAGGAATATTTAACAGTAAGATCAATAACATGCATTTAGAAAATATATAGGATGAATTTTCATTTTATGCTGATTTAAAGCAAGCAAGGCCTTGTAAATCTGTTATGGAAGAAGTGATGTAAAAAAATCTAATATTTAAATAAATAAAAAACACCATGCACACATACAGTTGTTGTTATGCTCAATTTTAGGGTTGAATTGTTTAAGGGAGATTTTTTTTCTTTCTCAAAACTGAACTGGATGATGAACAGCAGTGCAACTTAACAACAGTCTATATCAAATTAATCTGTACTTTGGTACCTGTTCATGAATGGAATGCTTAATTTTAAGTCATATGTTTAATTGTAGTCATATATTTAGCCTGGAAACCTGAGCAATCTCTCGTTTACTTGTAACATGTTACTCCCACCGCCTAGTCATTTTAGCTAGCAGCATACACTGATTAGTAAACCTCTCCTGTCATGCCCAACAATGCTTTTAGGTTGCTTACAAGGTTTTGAGACATCCCAGCTAAAAACACCAGCTCAGACCAGGATGAATTTACTCTAACTGATCCTTGCTTTTTTTGGTGCTGGTTCAGCTAATGGATGTAGGATATCAGACCGAATCAGACAATCTATAAAGCCTTATTTATATTGAAAAGAGAAGTATCTTGTGTTTTGTGCTCACAAGTTAATGTCTTAAACTGCCGATCTTGTTACTGTGCTAATTACTAGTGTTTTCACTATATTTTGGATATAAATATCCATTGCAGAATTGATGTCATATGGCTCGTTCACTGAATCGCTGGCCGTCTCAGTGATCAGCCTTAAAACAGTGATTCTGTCCCTTACATATTATTGGTGGAGTTCCCTTTAAAATCTTAAATGATTCCCTTTGAGCTAAATTGACCTGTTTCCCTTACATGGAACAGCACAGACATGTTGTCCACCATCACAGATGCTTACCAACCAGCATGTTTAATACTGGGAAGTGTTGCCAGTGAAACTTGTTAAGAAAATCAGTATCCCATGTTCGCATCCAGTATCCAAAACACAGCATACGCTAGTCTTTTCAGCAAAGGTAACCATTTGTTTTATTAATTGAGTGTATTATAAACATCAAAGCAGTTTAGCTTACTCTTAGTTTTTGCTTTAGCTTAGTTTTCTTATAGTTAATTTTCTATAGTTTACTTGTACAGTAAAGCACATTTCAAACGTAACCTCATTAAACTTGCCGATAACGCACTTAGTCACCATTCTGTCAACCTCAGATATCATTCAGATTAATTTATCACGTTTGTAACTGGCATCATCCAGTGCAGGGCAGAGTGCTAGTGCACTACACCATGTTTACAGCACTCGAAGTGTGTTTAGCTGCAGGCCGCAGCACAGAGGAGGAGGAGGCCGGTGTGTGTGTGTGTGTGTGTGTAGTGAGAGAGGAGAAGTTGAGGACAGCTGTGGATTGACGGCTGACTCTCTGACCTCAACCCTGCATCTCTGTAAGTCAGCTCAGCGTAGCGCTCAGCGGGCCGTGGTATTTTTATTTAGTGCGTAGGCTGGCCCTACTCACTTGCATAACTCCCATTACCACAGGCAGAAAAGGTGAAAATCAAATATCTTTTTTTCTTTGTGAACAATCACTCGTATCTCCTGTTGAAAAAAAGAGAGCATTTGCTGCCTGTCTACCAGCGCTTGCACTCCCCTTCTGCTTCTCTCGCTCTCTATCGCTCTCTCTTTCTCTCTCTCTCCGTCATTGTTGTTCTGTTATTTGACTTTGTAATGTTCCCGAACTTGAGTGAGAATCACTCGTTTTAGTGGATGGAAGGTCAGATGAAAGGTTTCTTCTCCTCTGTGAGCGTCTGTCATTCAGTGTGAGATCACACACATTGCTGAAGGGATGCCGTGTTCAGACCTCAATTAACTTTCAAAAGACAACTTTACTTTGTTTAGTGCATTGATTACTACTTTGTTATTCAAATCAAGATCCAGTAATTTTGATAAAGGCCCGTATTAAACTGGTAGGCACATGTTGGTGTATTACAAACAGCGTTAGGGAGTATCTACTGTAAATAAAATTAGCACTGCTTATCTTTTTATCACATGAGCACTAGCATAGATTTTTAGAAAAATAATCCATCTCTGTCCATATATCCATAAAATGCAAGTGTATGGACCCTAAATGTTGATGCTTCAAAATCCATGCAGAACAAACATGACAGTAATACATATGACCCTATCTGATGAAATAATGTCTTCTGAAGCAATAAGATTAACGTATGAATTGTCGTATTTGTTTTGCATGTTTTTTGAAGCATCAACTTTGAGGGTCCCATCCATTTGTATTATATGGGCTCAAAGAGATGGATTATTTTTCTAAAAATCTTTGTTTGTGGTCCACATAAGAAAGAGTGTCACATGCATCTGGGACAGCATGAGGTGAATAAGTGATGAGAGAATTTTCGGTTTTGGATTGAGTATTCCTTTAACTACATTTTTCAGTAGTATGACAGCTCAGCTGTTTTCAAAACTGTGTAGGTTTTCTGGTAACAAGCTGCTTCCTAACAAGTAGTGGTGTAATGTGACAAAATGCTACTTGGCTGTTTTTATGTCACATTGCATTATGCGCACAGCTCTACAGCCGAGCGAAACGAGGCAACGCTTTCCTAGAATGTTCTTGTTACGGGGCTGACAAGACGTGAGACGTGCGGATCCATGTGCAAGCTTTAGCCGTGACAGGATGAGCAGGGAGTTCGCAAACGGCCTTTATAGCCGTGACAGAACAGGTAGCGAGTTCATAGAGGGCCTCCTTGGCCCGAACAGAACAGGACGAGGATTCGCAAGTGGATTCTAATCAGTGTAATGAATGATGGGATATGTAGTCCGGGGTGATATGCAACAGTGTGTAGTGCGAGAGTCAATGAAATGGAAAGGGTGACCTCTGATGGCTAGCAGACGGAAGTTCATGGACCGGATACGTAACAGTTCTTATCTGTCATTATGAAGCTTGGTAAAGTCATTTTCTGTTTTGTGAATCGGTTCATTCAGGATCATAAAGAAGTGTTTCACATTATTACATTTTTTTTTCAATTTTTATATTTATAAAGAAGTTTCTTATGCTCAATAAGGCTGCATATAATTAATCAAAAATGCAGTAAAAACTTGTCTAACTTCCTTATTGTCATTTAATACTTGCTGGACCTTCTGGAGGAATTCATGTAGGAAATGTTTCACAGATGATTCAGTAATAGAAAGAGGAATCAAACAAAAACCGAAGGTAAAACTCTCTTGATCTCAATCCATCATGCTAGTTATAGTCATAATTTACTTCCCTTCAGGGAAACGCTGTCTGTGCCATGTGCACAGTATAATAAAAAACCATTGCTTCTAGGAGTATATTTATAAAACCTGTTTTAAAAACATAACCAAGAGCCACAGTCATCAGCCATGATAATTGTAGCCCCAGATCTTCAGATGAAAACCTGTTCTCCTCAGCTGAGAGACGCAGGTGCTTGCAGTGTCTCTGGCGTGTATATCCTGTTCTAACAGGAAGCCCTGGGCTCCACTTCCCTCTCTATGCCAGCTCAACCCGCTCTGCCAAGGCTGTGACAGACATCAGCTGCCAGAGAGTCATTAGCAGTGAAAGCCATTCTTTCTCATTATCTAGATTTCAGGAAGAGGGAACGCCGAGGCTGGTGGGAGCGCCGCCTTGGCTGAAGACTGGATGAGGTGTGTGTGGATCCGTCTTTTTCTTTAATGTCTCAGAAATTAGAAAGATTAGAAAGACAGCGAGAGGGAGAAAAGGAACGAACGCCAGGTTTAATTGGCATGCGACTGATTCGCCATGCGGCTACCACTAAAGGGTAAAGCTGGAATGGCAAACCAAGCGCCAGCCTGTGCGTAGATTGAAGTGAGGGGGTGAGAAAGAAAGAGAAGGAGAATGAAAAAGAAATAGTTTTGGGGGGGAAAAAAAAAGAGTATTTCTCTTTTGCGACTGTTCTGCTCCTTTATTGAGTGGCCTAATGTATGGTGGGTGGAAGCCTCATTGATTGAGTTCTCAGCAGCTGAATTATATAAAGGCCATATGGGAGTGAAGGGATATCAGACAAATTCTAGACTTCTCTTTTTATTTTCTCATGGCCTGGTCACGTGTTGTGTGGCATGCATGGGGTTTTCATGTCTAGAACTGGATGGAATAAAGGAAAGAATCAGTGCAGTGATGGTCATGATTGTTGCGTTAGGATATGTTTCTGTGTGTGTGTGTGATCCACCCACTCGGTTGGTGTGTTGAGATGATGTGTGAATGTGCAGGGCTGCACCACTGCACACATCAAGCACAGGAAGCCCTCAAGAGCTTTGTGACACTAATAACGGAAACATTGAGATGTCATGTTGCAGAAACACAGTAAACATTTGAAAACATTAAGCAACAATACTTGGAAGAAGTGCAATATATATCCCTATTCCTTTTGTTTATAGGATTTTATTAAATTATAATAAAAATATGAAATATTTTTTAATGTAAAAATGACTATATGGCCTTTTGACTATATGGTCTAATGAAAATATGTATTTTTAATTATGCATATGTAATATAAATGTGTACTGTACTACTTTGTATTTTTTTTACACTTCATTTTTTTCTATAGAGATGTACAATATATCAATACCAGGTCAGTCAACAGGTTATCTGCCAATTGGTTGTTTTGTCTGATATTGGTTAATTAACTGCTCATACTAATTTCTCCTTTTTTACACATTACCTTTGCCATCATCTAATACTGTTAAATGCAAAACTGTCAAATATGATCTTTAGCAATTTTCAAAATTAAAATAATTTTTATTCTGCATATTATAATATTGTAATTCCAGAATTCACTTGTAGCGTCTAAATGGATGTTTTGTTGTTGTTTTTTTTTAGTTTTTGTGTTTTATTTTTAAATTATTTAGACAAAATAGTAGAGAATTGTAATATTACTCACTTGTCATTTATTGCTATAAAAATAATTATGGTCTTATCAGTATCTGACAGAATTTTTATATCAGTGCATGCCTAATATTATATAAAAATCTTGAATTCAAGAATTCAATAATGTCATGTTAGAAATTCTAATTTTACATACAGACAATGCAAATATTTTGCTGGACATTTAAGAGAGCAATAAAGACAGCAAAATACAAGAAAATAATAAGGTGTCTAAAAATTTGTCACTGACACTTATTAGAGGGCCAACCTGTCATCTTGCTTAAGGGCACAATGCCCTGAAATATAGCTTATAGGTTAAAACTCCCTTTAACCAGTCCAGAACTTTAAGCAGTATAGTTACACCACCTCAAAATCTTAAATGTGACACCTCTTAGGGATTTGAAACTGACAAACGTACAGACATCACAAAATTTCAAGCTCCTCCATGCCGGCCATCCTCTCATTTAGCGGTTTGTTGTCAGCAATGGCTCCACTCCAGTCCACTGGCAGACACTTCATCAGCGGAGAGTGTGTGCAGTATTACTGAGAGTGTAAATGAACAGCCTAAGTAATGGCTGTGTAAGATGCATCTGTTGTTGATTGTGTGGTGGACAGCAGGAGTGTGTGTGTGTGTGTGTATGTGTGGGTGTGCTGCTGTGATGTTCAGATGTGTTAATCTCGCTGAAGCCTCATTAACAGTCCCATCAGCACTGAGCGCAGGATCAGCCCAGCTAATCCAGTTAATGTCACAGCTAACATCCGTCCTCTGTCTTTCAGTGTGTGTGTTTTTGACATTGCCACAAGTTTGTGAAATCTGAAAGTTTCGTAAAAACTTTATGTACGTTTTTGAAATGAAAAATTCACAAATTGTCATTGTCTTTAATTCTTGATTTCTTTAAAGAATAAAAGGCAGTATAAAATAGTATTCATTCATTCATTCATTCATTTATGAGGAATGAATATACCAGTTAAATATGACCAGGAGATAAATTCTTAATGAGTTCATTTTGACCACTAAAAACATAAATGCCTTTATTCACTTCTGAAACCCAGTGAAATGTTTGCTATTCAAATGGCATTTACATTTCTAAAATGTTGTAATTTCAGGTTTTAGTTACTCTACCACTTGTAATTAACTTAAGAAAAAAAGTGAATGTGGAAGTCTTCATTTATCTAGATAAACATGCAAGTATCCTTTGCATCAGGACCATTGTAGTGACTTTTATAATCATATCACATGAGAAAGCACTTGTACTTTAGAATGAAAGACAAGCTTGTTTCAATTTTAACTGCAGGATGTTGTCCATTTGTGTTCAATGATCGGTAAGAGAGCTAAGCTAGCTGTTATTGTCAATGTTGTATTCCTGCTCACTGTTGTGTTAGATAAATGCCTTTATTCACTTCTGAAACCCAGTGAAATGTTTGCTATTCAAATGGCATTTACATTTCTAAAATGTTGTAATTTCAGGTTTTAGTTACTCTACCACTTGTAATTAACTTAAGAAAAAAAGTGAATGTGGAAGTCTTCATTTATCTAGATAAACATGCAAGTATCCTTTGCATCAGGACCATTGTAGTGACTTTTATAATCATATCACATGAGAAAGCACTTGTACTTTAGAATGAAAGACAAGCTTGTTTCAATTTTAACTGCAGGATGTTGTCCATTTGTGTTCAATGATCAGTAAGAGAGCTAAGCTAGCTGTTATTGTCAATGTTGTATTCCTGCTCACTGTTGTCTTAGATTGCATAACTTGTATGTTTTAGCTTTAATGAGTTCATTTTGACCACTAAAAACATAAATGCCTTTATTCACTTCTGAAACCCAGTGAAATGTTTGCTATTCAAATGGCATTTACATTTCTAAAATGTTGTAATTTCAGGTTTTAGTTACTCTACCACTTGTAATTAACTTAAGAAAAAAAGTGAATGTGGAAGTCTTCATTTATCTAGATAAACATGCAAGTATCCTTTGCATCAGGACCATTGTAGTGACTTTTATAATCATATCACATGAGAAAGCACTTGTACTTTAGAATGAAAGACAAGCTTGTTTCAATTTTAACTGCAGGATGTTGTCCATTTGTGTTCAATGATCGGTAAGAGAGCTAAGCTAGCTGTTATTGTCAATGTTGTATTCCTGCTCACTGTTGTCTTAGATTGCATAACTTGTATGTTTTAGCTTAAAAATTCATATTGTGCGTGTGACCTGTGTGTATGTACAGAGGATTGTCTGAGGTCATGTGCGCAGTGTGTGAACATTTGATAATGAGTGAGAATTCACAGCATGTCTTATATACCCTAAATTGATCATTTATATCTCCTCAGTAAAGGGATATCATTTTCCAGACTGTTAAACCCAGTTGTTTAGTCATGGTTGGAAAAGCTGCATACAAATATTAGGTTAGCAAATTAACATAATTAGGATCAGAAAGAATAATGTTTTGTTATTACCCTAAGCTTTTTCTACGTGTTTTTAAAAAAAAATTAAGTTTCAGTTTCTTTAGTCATACTTTTATGAACAGTTTAAAATGTGAAATTTCATGAAGGTGCAGTTAAAATGAATGCACCAATAATTTTTTTAATGTATTTAATTTAAATATAACCCAAATAAAATGTATAGCTAAACATGAAATAAAATGAAAAATAAAAAAAATATATGAACTGGTCTGGTCTTAGATGTACCTTTTTTCACCATCTGTTATTTTGGGAGAAGATAGTGGATTGAGTCTGTGCAAAATAAGGTTTGCCAAGGATGAATGCATTGTACATTAAGTTACTTAAAGAGAGAGTTCACCCAAAAAATATTGTCATAAATTTTGTCATCATTTACTCACCCTCAAGTTGTTTCAAAGCTGTATGACTTTCTTTTGTGAACCATAAAAGAAGATATTTTGACAAATGTCTCAGTGTTTTTGCACATACAATGAAAGTTAAAGGTCACCAAAACTGTTTGGTAACCAACATATTTCAAAATATCTTCTTTTATGATTTTCTTTTGTGGAACTTAAAAGTTTGGAACGAGATGAGGGTGATTTTTGGGTCAACTGTCCCTTTAACCAGCATTAGATTTATTGAGCATTACATGATCTTCAAAAGCCCTCAGATGGAGATGGATTGTGGATTAAATGTCAGAGAATTTAAATGTCAAATTTTTTGAGACTTGGTGTGAATCAAAAACAATGATCATTTTATGATATCATGGTATGTTTTTGAATGCTTTGCTCAACATTGTAGACTGAGAAAAAGCCACATAACTGAAACCGTGCGTCCCAGTTTATTTACATTCAGAAATGCACAATAAATGTTGGTTTTCATCATTTTAGGAGTACACTTACTAGCAGCATATAGATGACTTGAAATATAATAGACTTGGACGAAAAGCCACATTAGGTATTTAACAGTATCAACATGTTTCATATTTTCATCCACCTCTAAATAGTAAGGATTATTTTTCCTCCTTTGTGCAGAATTTATTCTTCGCCCGGCGTTCTGATTGGCTGTTTCGGCAGAGCAAGGCTTCCCATGGAAACTCAGCTGAACTCTATTTAATTCACCTCCTTTAGGTTTGTGTGTGTGTTTGGGGTGGGGGTCTGGCAAGCTTGTTTCCTTCAGCTCGATTCAATTTAGCAGCTCTAACACCTTGTTGTGTTCATGAAGCCTTAGTGATGTTGCACCATGAGGAATATCTTTTGCATGCTGTTCCATTTCTAGTAAACAAGCACACAAACTCCCTTCCCTTCCTCCTAATCTGCATCTTCCTGACAGCTGGGCCGAATTCAATATCAAGATGAACGTTCCCAGTCATCTCCGGGATCACTCGCACATCTCCCGTGCCCGTGAATTCAAATCGTGAAAGGTTCTTTCGCGGCTTCTCTGGCCAGACGCGGCTTGCTATAACTGGAGGCTCTTTTTAAAGGTTCGCAGTTGTCCAGAAGGCAGATATGCTTGGATGTCGAGTGCATGTGTGTTTGTGTGGGCTTGCTCGTGTATGTGTGCGCATTTGAGCTGTAAGTGTGCTAGTACGTGGGTGTGCACCATTGCCGTTTGTCTCTGAGCGACTGACTGATTAGCAGGAGAGGACTAATGCTTGTGCTTTTCCGAGCTAATTGAATTCGTCTCAGAATGGCTCTGAGCAGCATCTGCCGGGACGAAGTTTGGTGTCTTAACGGGGTGTTCGGCATGGTTGCTGAGCCGCTAGCATGGCATGGATATTTAATGGGCTGTTTAATTATGAAGGGCCAGATCAGTCTCGCTGTGAAGGGACGTGGGTTGCTACATGAGCCTTTCTCTCGTTCTGACCTTTTAAGAGTGCTGGAGAGAGAACGAGTCAGGGAAACTCCTATACTGGGCCTGATCAGGCTGGCCATTATGTAAGCTTACGCTCAGTAGGCCCTGTGAGAGGCTGTTTAATTGAGCTGCTTGGAGATGGCAGTCTGCGCTTCACCTCTGTGTTGATCTTTGCACTGTCACCAAGAGCAGAAGAGGAACTTCCTGATGCTTAGACCTCTTAGTAGATGATGAGAGATATATTTATATAAATATTTAAATATTAGGAACTGTTCTTATTTATAAACAGTTTTTTTTTTTTATTTGTATGAATGAGAGTTGATCTCAAACTGTGGCACGTGGATTGTCGCCCACTGCTGTGGAAATTTACAAAACTGCAGAATATAAGTGTTTTATTTCAGTTGGTATTATGTTTTTGTTTTATTTTTAGTTTCCAATCTAGAAACCGTTTTAATTCTGTCATCATCTACTTAATATGTCAAAACCCATATGAAATTTTGAAGATTGTGCCTGTCACTCTCTTCCATGCTGCAGTTCATATAAATGGGTACAAAAGCGGCATAAATGTTTCAGAAAATTTCACGTCTTGTGTCTCACATGTTCTGTATTAAAGGTGCATTCAGTATTTTTTGCTAGGGTTAGCATTGCTGTACATTATGGACCGATACCACAATGATGTTAGATGCTGCGTGCGCTGCCCAGTCCCACCAGGAATTCGTTGGACTTTTTTGTGGCCGAAAATAACAGAATTTTCTGTGGCTTTTCTCAAAGATTGTGGTGATATTTGCAGCACTTTTTTATGTTGCAGTGAAAACTCACCAATAATCATGATGAACTTATGTTATTATTTTTAGTGATGGTAAGAGCACAATTACCTGTAAATACTTTTGCAGTAATTTTACAAACACTTTTTACTTTTCCAAAAAGTATTTGGAATACTTTTGAAATAACTACTGAAATTGTGGTTCTGTTTCCCCATGCACAAGGCAATAGTGGCATCAGCATAGAATGTTCCTAATTCTCTCTGAACTTTTCTTTCCTTTTGAAACACTTTTATAGTGTCTTTGTGCTTTATATGGTCAGTCCATCCCTGATCACTTTACAGTGGAATACTTTAATATAGCTTGTGTGTATAATGCATAGCCTACATTTGCACTGCAGGATGTAAAAAGATAAGTGGTGTTGACCGTTCTCAAGTGCTGATCATAGCCAGCACATCACAATTTTATTCTGAGAACTAAAAAGAGAGGCAAAAAGGAGGTGTTTGCCAAAAGGCGAGATGAAAATCTATCATGTGTTTTTGTCTGCTTTTGGCTCAGATACATAGGATTCAGCACTGTTTTGAAGTGATTCCATGCACTTCTAAAGAGAAGTTTAAAGATCAAATTCAGAAATGTATTTACTATTAAAGTGTTTGGATGGAAGATGTTCTCAGAATGGCAGCTCTGCTCTATTCTATGATAAATGGCAAACATTTATAGCATCAATTCCCTAAAATCTTTGCCCTCCAACTGATCACCCCCCCCCCTTTTTTGGGAGAGAATTTGGTAATATTCTCAGCTGTACAAGTACTGCTATTGTCATATTTACCACATTCATTTATTTTTCTTAATTTTTTTCCTTAGTACTATCATTGTACTATCAAGGGAAAAAAGATGTGATTCTGCTTGTTTCATGCCTTCTTTCTCTGTTTATTCAATAAAACATTTTTAACAAGAAAAAGGGATTTTAATGGACTGTAAAACTGCATGTTAACACTTTATTGTTTTTATAGTGATCTGGTCCTTCCACAGATCTGCAAAAGAGCCAGTCAAGGGTCTGATGAAGGTTGTGTAGCACCATCGTTTATTAAAACTGTAAGAATATTGTGATTAACCGAAATATGGTGTTATGTTGCCCAGTTCTCAATCCAAAAAGATGTACGTGCTCAAAAGTGTTGGAAGGAACATTGTTGTTACTAGGTGCTGCCTGAATGTTTAGCTCAGGTTGTATTATTGTTAACAGGTTGTAATTATTATTATTATTATCATTTTTTTATTAACTCATTTAGGATCACA